GATGCAATTTGTTTCCCTGTGCATGCTGCAAAACTGCTCACTAGAAAACAGGTGAGTAGCCAAACATTCAGCAAATTCTACTGCGTGCATACTATTCTCTGTATATACAGGACCACAGGAGATTTTTTTTTTAAATAAAAAGAACAAAATGAAATTAGCATACCTGTGAGCTCAATACTACTGTGTATGACGGACGTTTCCAAAGCCACACTCATGCATTGCTTCCCTTACTTCTACTTTGACTCGGTTTTCTTAGATTTAAATTTTGCAGTGAAAAAGGCTTAAGCTAAACCTTTCTATAGTAATAAATGGATATGTATTCTGACAAAAGGCATTGTTTTGGCACAGAATGAAGATCAGTTTGCGAGGGCGGGGAGACGGGAGAGAAAGTTTGAAGCAACTTTTTTAAAAGGACATTCTTTCAAGTTTGTCCAAGCAATGCACAGCATCTGGAACTGATTAAATAAATTGCCTTCAGAGAATTTCAAAAAACCAGATTACTGTTTAAGAGAAGTTGGTCTTTGTTTGTGGTTTACTATGGAAGAGGCCATTAACACACTATTAATAATATTGTGTTACCATTTCCTTCAACAAACTTTAAATGTTGCAAGCTAGCAACTTTGTAACAAATACATCGATTCTCTTTGGTTAATATCCACCAACAAAAGAGCTTCAGATCCTTGGGACCAACGTCAGCGTCTTAAGCTAGGTGTCACACTTCCTAATACCTGTTATTTTCCACAAGGGCTTTGTAATCATAAGTGCTCCTAAAACAAACTCATCTATTTCACTTAACATATATGGTACACCTAAACTCTCCTGAAAACAGTTGTTCGGGTACTAATGAGGGAGAAGGGAGTCACAAAGACCTTTTAAAATGTCCTAAAGCAATTTGTTCCCACACTGGGAAGTGAACGAAAAGTGACATACCAAAATAAATATCCCATTTGTTTTGCTACATGTTCATTGCAGAAGATAGCTATATGCAAATATTTCTGAATCCAACAAAACATTGAGAAATACAGTTTGAGTACCCTTATCCGGAATTCCCAATATCCAAAATACTCAAAAATCCAAAATTGCCCAACTGATTTGCTGAGATGGTGACACCTTTGCTTTCTGTTGGTTCACTATAAACAAATTTTGTTTCATCCACAAAATTAATAAATATATTGTGCATAAAATTACCTTCAGGCTATGTATATGAAACATAAATTAATCTTGTGTTTAGATTTGGGTCCTGTGTCCAAGATATCTCATTATGCAGATGTATAGAAATACAGGTATTCCAAAACCAAAAACACTTTTGGTACAATAATTTTGGACAAGGGATATTCAGCCTATACAATAAAAGAAAAGGAAAGATCAATTGCGAATCAGCAACATCTTCTCTGGATTGTTGTAGGTTTTTTCGGGCTATATGGCCATGTTCTAGAGGCATTCTCTCCTGACATTTCGCCTGCATCTATGGCGAAAAGTCAGGAGACAATGCCTCTAGAACATGGCCATATAGCCTGAAAAAACCTACAATAACCCAGTGATTCTGGCCATGAAAGCCTCCGACAATACATTGAACATCTTCTCTGTCCATGAACACAAAGAGGGGCGAGGATCTAAAGGTCAGGGTAGAGGTACTATTTCCAAGAGGCAACAAGGCAAGGAATTGTTAAGGAGGAGATCAAGAAGGCAACAAAAAAAGGAACAAAAAGCAATGATGCCTCAAGATTCAGTATTTATTTCTTTTAATCCAACAACTGAATGTAAATCTCATCTTTTGAAGTCATATAAAATAAGTCAGTTAACTTAAAAGGGCAGCCTTTTTGAAACACACCAACTACAAGGGATTCTGTTCTCTTTTCTGCAAAATTTAGTATTGGTGTTTGATCTTGCAGAGCAATAGTCTTTTTATCCAGAATGTATGAATGCCAAGATCTTTTGGATCTTAAAAGTGAACCGTTTTTAATGCAGGTTATTTAAACAATAAACCACAACCTGTAGAGCCACCGAGGGCTGTGGTGAAGCACACCACACATAGATTTACAAATAGATAAGCAATAATGTGATAGAAAACAATGAAAACGAAATGGCTAGACATAATTTTAGGTAGCATGAAACTGGAACTTTCTTCCTTAAGATTAATTAGTTCTAATTTAATCCTCAAGAGGCAATTCACTGACAACGCATAATGAATTATTAATCAATGAGTGAGATAAAAGGAATCTTTCTATGATCTTCTAACACAAGGTATTAAGTGTTGAAATGAAAGGGATAAAACATGGAACTACTTGGGGCCCAAAAGCCAATGTATTTCACCCTAATTCTTGAATAGAGCAATTCTTGAATAGAGGGTAAACATTATATGATTCATATCAAGTGCAATATTCTGGAGAAAACAAAAACAATAAAAATATATTTTTGTTAGAAAATTCAAGATCTTGTTACATTCTAACATTTTTAAATAAATCAATTAAAGAACTATGTGTGCATGCAACTACAGCCTTTATTTAGTTGTGTTCCTTGGTGCGTTTTACATTGTGATTTAACACTCCTTCTGTATTAGCATAAACCTGATAACCTTTTCTCAACTCCCTGCCTCGAATTTGGGGAGAGCGGGTTGAGCTCCCGCTGTTAGTTCTAGCTCCCCATGCAAAGACATGAGAGACGCATCTCACAAAGATGATAAAACATCAATAACATCAGGACGTCCCCTGAGCAGATGCAGATGGTCAATTCTCTTGCACCAGAAGCGACTTGCAGTTTCTCAAGTCGCTACTAACACGAAGAAAAAAAACTCCCTTCTCGTGTTGCCGTGTGCTTTCCGGTTGTTTCCAACTTATATCATAATAAAAGTGATAGTGTTTACTTCTGGTCGGTAAATTTTTTAAACAAAAAATAAAACAAACAAAAGCACTTTGAAACATGAACTCATTCAAGCAGATAAGCATCACCTTCAAGTTCCATAGACTTCCAAATGAAAATACAAAGACAAGCACCTAATAAAATGCATATTTTGGGATGGAAAAACTACCCCACCCAAATTCTATGGTAAAACATTATTATGTGTGTCAGCATCACAACCTCACACCCCAGCCCTGGATTTCTTCCCAGAATTGATAAGAATCACTACTGGTTTGCAGGAAGAGTGGGAAATTATGACTCACTAATACTGCTTGCTGCTTGAAGAAAATTTCCACTGCCAAGAAGGTACTTTTTGAAAGTCATTCCCTATATCAAAGCACATGGGATTCCAAGACAAAAAAAAATCTAAGGAAAACGAGGCTATTTTTACCAAGCAATAAATGGAGGGCATCACAACAATGAATGTTGTTATGTGCCTTCAAGCAGTCAGCAATGTATCACACCCCAAAGAGCGTTTTCTAAGTGAGATTTATTCAGAGAAGATTTGCTGGTTTCCTTCTTCTCAGAACGACAGAGCAACTATGTGTTTCCATAACTGAATGAGTGCAGGTTGAAATCTTGTTCTTCCAAAGTCCTAGTCCAACACTTAAACCAATGCCCCACATTGGATCTCATACAAAACTAAACATAACAAGAAAAAAAGTGTGTAGGAAAGGGGAAATACTCATATGAGAGGCAACATGTGGAAAAATCCTCTTTGCTGCTATTGTGATGGGCCACCCACACGTGCCACAAATGGGGATACTGATTCCAGATCAATGTTGCCAAAGTACACACAGCCATCAAGTGAGCAGGCTCAGGGTCTGGATGGCATCAGCATTGCCCGGCAGTGCCGGAACAATTTTGGTACCACCAGACAGCCACCCTTACATTCTCCCTGTCAATCTGGCAACCACTGGTCACAAAAAAGCCAGTGGTCATCGCTTGGTAACTACAGGGACACTAACTGAAGTGACAAAGCAACACAACAGAAGGGAAGGGGGAAATGAGACATTGCTCCCTCCTCTCCCCCTTCTCTTATTGCCTTGTAACTCACTACCAGCACCAAGCAACAATCCCCAACATTTTCATGCCCAGTGGTCACTGTTAGATCGGAGGAAGGTAAACACCATTCCCGTCCTCCGGCTGCCTGATCTGGGGAAAATTAGATGGCTATGTGAACAACTGTGGCCACTTCTGAACAGAAAGCGGATGTTTATGTTGTTCCAAAATGTGGGCAAGCTTTTTAAACATGGGACAAGGCTGTATTAAGGCAAATGGAACCTATGAGTCATGTGGATAGAACCAAGTTCCACACCTCTGAACTGACTTACTGACCCAGGTAAATGGGTTCTTACAGTTGGGACTACGAATTGGTTTTGGGCCTTTTACTATAACTACTGTCAAACAAACATTTATGGAGCTTGTTTCCAAAAGCTACCTGAAAAAAATTTACAGGAATAAAAAATGTGCTGTGGAGGTGCATTGTTTTGCTATAAAATGCATTTTTCCAAGCTGTGTACCAAAGTGATGTTTTGATCTGTACCTAATATTCTACTCCTAGTCCACAATGTGCTGTCACCTACAACTCATTTTTCTTTTCTTTTCTATTGGATTTAGAACCTTTTTGAAACAAACTCCACATTTAGGACTAGAATTATGGATTCAATACTAGAAAAAGTGTTAACTGCAGCAATCCTTATAATACACTGATAATGGAAGAATTTATTTCTTAAGACTTTGGTACTTGGACTGTCTTTATTGTAAAGAAGTTGCAGATACCTTCTTAACAAAGTTTTCTACTCTCGTCTTAAGACAGTTTCCACCCTGGTCTGAATATTATTTCAAATGCTATACAGAGGTTGCAATCTGAAGCAGAAATATGGGTTATACACACACACGAGCAATTGTGCCTAAAATTTGGTGCTCTGACTAATTCAAATCATTTTTTGATTATGCCAAATCTGGTATTCCTTTACTAAAGGTTAGAAAAAAACACCATGAAATGACTAAGCTCAACAGCAAACTAGCTTTTCCACCCACTTCTTTTTTTTACCTTAAGACACCAGTTGTTCATACTGGATTAACAGAAACATCCTTACCTGCACCTTTTTTAATGCTACCGGCACACCATCCAACAAGCACGTCGCTCTATAGACTTCACTAAATTGTCCACGGCCAATCTTCTTTTCTATTCGAAAGTTGGCTAGGGTATTATAACCCATGTCAGGCCGTAAGGCTTTCTGCATTCAAAGAAATAAGAAAACAACATCAAACAGTAAGTTATACATTACCCTCGCATACTCTCATCAACCTGTTCAATTTAAGAATATAAAAGTGGCAAAAGTGACATGAATTTGTGTTAGAAGAAATAAGTAACCCATTCAAACTCTTTGTTTCCAGCCAACATTATGATTCAATGATTTCTAAGTGATAGTTCTCATTTTAGAAAAGATATTCTAACTCCTGAGGAGTAGTGGTTCCCAAACTTTTGTCCTCCAGATGTTTTGGACTTCAGCTCCCAGAATTCTAACCACTGAACAAGGTGGCTTGGGATTCTGTGAGTTGAAATTCAAAATAATTGGTGGACCAAAGTCCGTGAATTACTGCTGCAGAGTTTCTATACAAATTACAGCTTTAAGTGCCCTGTTTAGAAATAGCTCCCTTCCACTTCCATGTCATCACCAGGTCTTTCTGTGTCAGCGTACGAGGTCCATCAGCATCACTGGTTCCCAGTCTACTCTCAATAACAATTCAAGGTGCTAGTTTTTACTTTCAATTAAAGTGAGAATTGAGCAGTCAGGCCTATTCAACCTACGGCCCTTCAGGTGTTTTGGATTTCAGCTACCAAACACAATTCTTGACCACTGAATAAGCTGGCTGGGGCTTATGGGAGTTGGAGGCCCAAACACCTGGAGAGCGAAAGATTGAAGAGGCCTTTAAGTCATTTTGAGCTCCTTGAGGGAAAAATTGGGCTCAGACTTAAGCCAATGCTGCCTGGTGATGTGGGATGCATCTTCATTCTATTTTCAACCGTCGGATCATTTTGAATCCTAAGGAGAAATTTAAAGAACAGGAATTACTGGTGATTCACTTCCTGGTTTTAAAAAAATGCCTATCCTGGTCTACAATAGCCTAACAGAGAAAATGTACCCTACAGGACGGGGGAACCAGGAAGCATGGTCCTGCAGGGAACCTCCCAGAGCACACCCCAGCTAAAATGGCCCAAGACTAAAAGAGCTCTTGAACAAGTGCCCCCAATCAGGACTACAGAAATAAGGTAAACAGGCCTTTTCAGTTGTGACGCTCAAAATTTGGAACATCTTCACAAGAAAGTGATCCCTACCAAGTGTCTGTTTCCAGTTGGATAGTAAAGACAGATTTATTCAAATGGGACATTTTACTCTTTGCTATCTGCTTAACACTGTTGTTTTACCTTTTTTTAGGGATGCAGGCCCATGTACTTTTCTGTTTCACTGATTTGTTACATAAACCACTTTAATGACTGATTTCTATCATGAAGGATGCTATTTAAGATTTCTCCAAAATAAAAAACATGATATTCTGAATAAAGCAAATTATACTTTCTCAAGATACAGTACGACTCCTGCATCTGCAAAAGACACATTTCTGAACTTACCATTGAAATAGGAAACTGTTGGTAATAACAAGACCTATTGAAATAAATGGCTTTTACCAGAAGTTTTCAGTCACATTGGAAGACATAAAAACTTCTTAGAGAGGTCACATTTTGTCACATGCAGGAAGAGGACATTGTAGGTACTGCTGTCATACCATACTTCCACTATGCAGAGTAACACACTTTAATATCATGGGTCATTAAACATAAATAAACTGCTGTAGATGCATGATGCAGCCACTGAATGCTTTCCTGGGACTCTGCTTGAGCAATCATGAATCCCATTTGCAGCTTCTCAGGAGTTGTGACTTCAAAAGCATGCCATGTTATAAAGACAACAGAGGGATAAGAGAGATAGTTGGATATATCCCTCAGAGCAGTTCAGAAACTGGATACCACTACTAGAATGTTAAAACAGCAGTGCTGGAGGAATCATCAGGACAGCCATGGCAAAGAAGGCTGTAAGAATTACCACTGAGAGGTTCTTAGTGGGATAGGGTTGTTGTAGGTATTTCGGGCTACATGGCAATGTTCTAGAAGCATTTTCTCCTGACATTGGTGGAATATTTTAACACCAGGCTACCATATTGTCTACTCCTTAGGTTCCTCATCAAGCATGATTAGCAGGTTCATAAATTAAAGCACAGACTCTCTTTCCTTTAGATGAATCCAGATAGACTATAATCAACCACCTGATCTTGAAAAGTGAAGAGACTTCCAATTCTTTAAACAGCTAATAGCACTTGCCAACCTGAGGAAGCAGTTAAATTCCATACAAATACTTTCTCTCTCTCCAAACCATCATTCACTCCTTGTTGTTGTTGTTCATTCGTTCAGTCGTCTCCGACTCTTCGTGACATCCTTCAAATGCTCTCACCCCTCCTTCCATCCACCTCACTAATTCCAGTCTCATCTTAAAACCTCATCCCTAGCTTGTAAATGTTCCCTCCCACTCCTTCCATCCACTTCAGTCCTGTACTTCTCAAACCCATGTGGCTGAACTGCAAAGTTGAAGGGCAAAGCTGTTAAGTGAGGTTGCCACTTATCAGCTGAGAAGGGAAATTTTTTGAATGCCCGAGAATTGTGCAATAGCCAAGTAAGAGTTCATATTCTGCAAATAGTATTCCCCTATTAACTAATTGTGGTATTGCCAATTGTAAAAAAACATAGCAGAACGCACTGTATATACATGGATTTAGGTTTAACTAAAGCTTATTATTGAATAGTTTTCATTCTTAAATAAAGCGCAGTACTCCAAGTGATGCTGAATACACAGCAGATTTTTCCACGAGGAGGCAAATTGTAAACTGAGAGAAAGAGATTCTTTGCATTGCTCTCTATTTTCTATTCTGGGTACACCAAAACATTGGACGGTGCTTGGTTGCAGAAAATAATCCAAATAGACGAGGAACTAAAGGATTATAGAACAGCATTAATATTGTCCTTTGTCATTCCTGCTTTAGAATGTGAAAGGAAAAACAGAAACTTACTCAATGCATTTGTACACACTGAGTGTTCTCTGAACTGCAACAGATACTGGAAATACATCTAGGCTGCTGACTTTTGGATACTGTCATACTGTCAAAAACAAATTAATAGCCAACAGAAGAGCCAACATCCAAATATGGAACTGAGAAGGCATTGCACCAATTTAGGCATGTATACTCGAAATGCGCCTATGTAGGTTTAATGAGGTTATCGGCAGCATGTGGAGTAAAAACATCAAAACCTGTGGAGTCCTCTCTCTTGTTATTCCAAGGCTCATGTTACAGAGAAGCAGAATGCAGCTTCATTAAGCTAGGATAGGGGTTTTGTGTGTGTATGTGTGTGATTGTTTAACCAGCATATATTGCAAAAAAAAAAAATCGGAATTGGGAATTGCATCCTCTGTCTGTGCAGTAACTTGACAAACATTAGCGTGAACTACTAAGGCAGTGTGACAACCGCATGCTGAGAGCAAAGTCTCACTAATGTGTTTTGGCATGCAGGTTTGTAATCACACATTTACATATGCAATGACCTACATTTGCATGTCAGATCACACACTGTCTGGCTTTATTAAGACTGGGCACCTCCCTGTGCTTGGCGGCCAGAGTGGCGAGAGAGGGCCAGAGGGCTGCGGTTTTTTTGCCAGTTGAGGGATGAACTGCCACCAAGGATTAGACTGATACGGCCTGAGCATTAGACACTTCATTAGAGGTAATCTGTTTAACAGTGGGCAGTGTATGTAAACTTCACAGCCCATTTGCGGCACCTTCCCACCCACCCCCACTGCCAATGGCCTTTCTTCAAAGGGCAGCGTGGCTGACTGACAGCTTGTCTCATCTGCTCCCTTGTCCTGTCAGACAATTTAGACGTGGAGACTTGACATGAGAAGCAACATAGCTGCACATCTCCCAACTATCACCCAGGTCTCCTTCCCTGCCGCAGTGTAATTTGGAAAAAATACATTAAGCTCATGCATAATGGGGGCATCAATTGGGCACAGAACATATTACATACATTTCAGTAATGAGCGGAGTGCATTTTAAACCAGCCCACATTGGAAAGAGGTGGAGAGAATAACAGCAACAACTTCTTCTGTTTCAGGAGGAATGCTTTTCTTTTAAATGGCAATCCATGTATGGAAGTACATCATCAGCATTGTACCGTAATTCCCTCCCAGGTTGAAAGCCAAACCCAAGACTTGTCTCTTTCCAAACCGTGGTTTTGCAAATAAGTAAATTGCAGAAAGATACTCCCTTTCTCTTTTCTTCTTTACCTCTTCAACCTAAACTATGGTTTAAAATTGGGGTGGGAAGGGGGTTCAAGACTATGCAGACCTTCAGCTGTTATCACACTGGAATTCCCGGCTCCCCCAGCCTGCCAGAGCCAATGATGGAGGAATAAGGACAGTTACAAATCAACATCTAGAGCAGTGGTTCTCAACCTTCCTAATGCTGCAACCCCTTAATGGAGTTCCTCATGTTGTGGTGACCCCCAACCACAACATTTTTTGTGTTGCGACTTCATAACTGTAATTTTGCTAATGTTATGAATCATAATGTAAATATCTGAACCAAATTTGGCACAAATACCCAATACGTCCAAATTTGAATACTGGTGGGGTTGGAGCGGGGATTGTTTTTGTCATTTGGGATTAGGAGTTGCTGGGATTTATGGTTGATTTAAATTCAAAGAGCATTCTGAACTCCACCGACGATGCAATTGAACCAGACTTGGCACACATAACTCTCATGACCAACAGAAAATACTGGAAGGGTATGGTGGGTATTGACCTTGAGTTTGGGGGCTGTCGTTCACCTACATCCAGACAGCACTGTGAACGCAAACAATGATGTATCTGGACCAAACTTAGCACGAATACTCAATATGTCCAAATGTGAACACTGGTGGAATTTGGAGAAAATAGACCTTGACATTTGGGAGTTGCAGTTGCTGGAATTTATAGTTCACCTGCAATCAAAGAGCATTCTGAAGCCCACCAATGATACAATTTGGCCTAACTTCCCACACAGAACCCCCATGACCAACACAATATACTGTGTTTTCCGATGGTCTTTGGCGACCTCTCTGACACCCCCTCACAACCCCCCCCCCAGG